GGTCTATTTACTTATCCACGCCAGCCACCTCATCGGCGACGATGTGCAGCTGCTGCGGGATCAAATGGGGACCCTCTACGAGGCCCTCCCGGGCCCCGTTAAGGCCTTCTTCCTCGGCGTCTCCGTCCTCGCGCAGGCGCAGATCGGGCTCCCCGGGCTGGTCTACCTCCTCGGCCGCGCCACCCTCCCAACAGCGGCCGCCGCCCCCGACGAGGCCGCGGCGAGGACGGGCCTCTTCCGGGAGGCCTATCGCGCCCTCACCACGGCCCTCCCCGGCCCTGAGTCCGCCCCCCCTTTTCCCTCACCTCTCAGGCCCGGACCGCATTCGGGCCCGGAAGGGGGGTCGTGGGTGGAGCACGTGGTCCGGATCGCCGCCGTGGTGGAGTTGATCGTGGAGCGGCGCGAGGGGCAGCTCCGCCGTCGCACCGAGGAGGCCATGAGGGAGATTTATCGACAAGCCCACGCCGAGCAGACCGAGCTCGCACGCGCCGCGCAAACGACGGAGTGGAAGGCGATGATCACGGAGGCGGTGGAGGAGGTCTCCGCGCGGCATGAACAGGCCACCTCACACCTCGTAAAGTCGCTCACCACGATGGTCGGGGAGTGGTCGCCGGAGAAGCTCTTCGACGCCGTAGAGGCGCTCCTAAAAGAACGTGTGAACCCGCTCCGGGGGGATCTTCAGCAGCTTATCGAGTTCTCAGAGACGCTCGGGGAGAGATTGGGGCAAATTAATGTCCATTTGCCGGCTATCAAGAAGGACCTCCTTGAGGTTCGCGCGCAAATCGAAAGTCTGATTCAAAACTCTGGCTCTGCCCTTTTCTCAGAAGACCCGTCATCTTCAGAAAGTTTACCTCAGAAAACTGAGCAAGTGGTGCAGGAGCTGGCCAGAGTTTTACAAGATATCAAAAGCATGATGGCACAATGGGATGTTTCGGCGCCTGAAATGAGTAATGCTGCTACCCATTCGCAGCATGAATCAACATCCCAAATCACCAAAATACTGGATACAGTTGATAAGATTCACAATCAAATGAAATCGGGCGATACTGAAAGTGTAGAAAATTCGAACAAATACAGCACCCTAATTTCCGACGACGAAGTCGTTGAAGCAGTCACGCAGATAAAGCAACTAAACGTTCCACTTCTATTGGAACGCTTTGAGAATGCTTTAGCTCGCGTGCACACTACGCCAACCCTTGCGGAATCTTCTGCAAGGGATCTGGATACCATAAACGTTGTAACCTCAAAGAATGATAAACTGAATGACGGTGATTCTCCTTTATCATCGGAGGTGGGAACCCCGTCCACGCCTTTGGAAGTGGACCGCATTGCAAAGGATGTTTTCCGACAACTGAAGGACTATTTAATCAAATCCGAGGTCCAACGGACTGTACGGCAGCGTAATGTGCTTGCACGAATACAGCGGCAACAGCGCAATCGACTACAACGCGAGAAGTCCGAATAGAGAGATCTCAAGTCGCTGTCAAGTAGAGTACTACTGAAAAGAAGGGCTAATGTTTATTTGTATCTAAAGCGCGGCCGAGCTGTTGGAATGATCAACCTTAAGTCGATACCGCATTTCTGTTACGGCTGCCGTTGTTAATTATGACTTCTGTACCTTGTCTCATGTTAGAATTCAATCAAGGGACACTAAAACAATTTGATAAAAGCGAGAAAACGAGTAACCTGTCTGATGGCTGAAACTAGGAAAACACAACGTAACGTTTTTTTCTTATTTATTGAGTAAATAGATAAGTTATAGATATGAATTTTATTTCATCTGTAGATGTACACTAAAATGATAGATCATCTTGATTTTTAGTTTGTGTATAGTTTATGCATCCTGGTTTACTTTGTTTTATGAGTTTATTTTAAAATTCCAATCTTTACCCTTTTAGTTGTTTTATTTATAGAAAAGATATTTGGACTTTTAAAATATTTATAGAACGCAAAGTGAAATTTTGTTTCCTTTGCTTATTTTCACATTGCAAATAATATTCCTTTTGTGCCATGCACCCTCTTTAAGCTTTATATATATGTCAATATTTGTATTTATCTAAGAATTTTGTTCTTGCTGGAATTATGGATTGTTGTTTAGACAATTTCGTGTAGACTTAGGTTTCCGTAACATATGCTCGACAAATAAAAAAGGTTTAGAAAGGAAAGCAATGGGAATAATAACACTAAATATATAAAGCGTGCGATACGTAGTAATACGTTTAAAAGGAAAGATACTGATTATTTTAACATATACTATTCGTCTGTATAGGTGATGATTTCATTTCACGAACTTTTTGCTCCGTTTTTTCTTTCACCAGGAAGATACACAAAAATGTAACACACAAACGCTCATTGTAAAGGATTTCTATGACAACACCAGAGACGTCCTGTTGTCCACTGTTATGTGTGTGGATTATCGGGAACCCCCAAAGTGGGGGAGGTATTGGGAGGGCAAAGATGAAGGACCTCTTTCGACGCCTCTCCAAGGATGGGTGGCTCGCTGAGGGGGACTCTGGAAGCTTCGGGTGCGAGCAGTGGTATACCGCGTTTCGATTTCTGTCAGAGTTTTCCGTTGAATCTATCACCCACCACGCCGTTCGCTGCCCCATCCCCGCAGGGGACGCGAAGGACAAAAGCCAAGCCGCGGTATCCACCGTCTTCATCGAAACTGAGAAGCCAAAGCAAGGCATCCTCATCGCCGAAAAGGTCGCGCGGCTGATTTGGCAGACGCATTTACGGTCAATGGGGACCGGAGTCCTTCACGTGGGGCTCGTTCTGGGAGGGGACGGGACCCTGGGAGAGGTCATCCACGGCGCCTGCCGCGGGACCCTTGCAGCCTACCGCCACCAAGGCCCGGACTTTGCGAGCTCAAGTGGGGATCTCCCGGCGGAATCCGCCGGTCAAGCGCACCCGCCGAATGGTGCTGGCGAAGATATGGTGTGGGCAAGTGGGGGTCCTGCACGGTATTATTCATGCGTTCAGGAAGACAAGGCTGTGCTTCGTCGCCTCTTGCCAGTAATACTGTATATCCCGAGCGGTACGGGCTCCGATTTTGCAAAGTTGAAGCTGTGTTGTTCAACAGTGAAGGAGAGTCTGCAAGTTCTTTCTGCAGTTGCCGCGGATTTTGTCCAAGACTTCGCGCCCGATAGTTGTAGAATTTCAGACAACCAATTCGATCAGATTTCATCCTCCACGACAAGTTTAATGGAAACTTCTTCAAACATTGAGAATAAAAAAACATCAAACGTATCTCATGCATTCTTTTCCTATGAAGTAGATATTGGGCGTATCACATTTCCAAGAACCGGTCACGTCCACTTTTTTATTAACGAATGTTCCATTGGTTTATCCTGCGAGGTCATTAAGAAAGCCGAGCGACTGAAAAATACTCCTTGCATATCCGCCTTAGGTGGATGCCTGTTCTTTGCGTTGTCGGCGGCCCTCGCGCTTCCGTCAATGACGCGAAAACAGATTCGTCTGATGCGATTGCCGTCTATGCCCTCATTGCCCTCGCTTTCATGCGAACATGCCAACGAAAGCCGACGATGGATCGCGGGCCAAGGTCTTCCTCCGCACATACTCTCGTCCGCTCGCAGGAATGCCCTGAGACAGTTTCTCGACAAGGTTGCAGAGGAATGGAAGATACCCAGCGGGGATCTTGATGGCGGTACAAACGCAGAACCATATGGCCAAACCGCGTCTGTGCAATCTCAGGATGGGGGTGAATACTACACCTTTTGGGATCCCCCAAGCGACCGCACCGTCAGCCTTGTAGAGGGTTGTGGGGATGAAGGCGCCTCGCGGTTTTATATCCCCTCCGCTCGAGGTCGCCCTCCCCACTCGAACGACCCTTCCTTATTCCCTTTATCCTGCATTGAGGTGGAGCAGCCTGCCGGGATACGCCAGGAGCTGGACCTGACGGATTCGTCGGTGTCCTTTTCCTCGCGATTGGGGGCAACGCGGCCTCGTTGGGTTTCTTTTCGGTCCTCGACCCTCGTCTTTGGCAACGGCCGGTGGTACGGCGGTGGGATTGAGGTCAGCCCGCACGCCGACCCCACGGACGGCCTGCTCAGCTGTACGAACTGGGCGGCCACTGCGTGGGCTTTTTTATGCAGGCTTTTCGCGATTTACGGGGACGGCCACCTGGGCTGGGATTCCACCACCGCCTTTGATGGGGGGCGCTTTGTTGTGGACCTCCCGCGGCCCGCGGCGGGGGAGATCTGGATGGAGGCAGACGGGGAATTCCTCGAGGCCCTCCCCGCGGTCGTGGAGGTGGGGGGCGTGATAACGTTCCTGGCGCCATCGTCCTCTAGCATCCGCCCGGCTTCGGCTTTTTCGTTCTCGCTGAAAAGGAAGAAAAGGACGGATTGCTGCTCCTGGCGTGGTTCTCCTGCTCCAGGTACGACCCGTGAGCGAAGAGAAGGAAAGATGTGTGTGCGATAAAGTTGAGAACAGACCGACCTGGCGTCTATACTGAACGTTGGTCTGGCAACTTGCACGATAGGTCATTCATGATTGAAAGGTGGCATGATTAAAGGCGCATTTTGAGTTTGTAGCTATTTAGCTATAGCTATGCTCTTCCAAGGAGATCATTATTGTTATTAAATACATCATCATCGAATAAGTTTTTGGTCATTTCAGTCTTTAAAATTCAGAAACCAATATATGGTTTGTAAATGTGTAGAATTTTTATTTATCTTTCTTTTTTCTGTTAGATTTAAACAGGGGAGGGATATAACTTTGCATTAACAGGGATGTGGATTGGATTTACATTGGTGTATCTTTAATCGGTTGAATCATAGATGAGCAGAATAAAAATATGTCGCTTCAATGCGGTATAGATATAATCAAACTATTTAAATTATGCTTTTAATGAATTCTTGAGAAGAATAACCGCATCACAATTAGCTGCAAGTAAAACTGTCACAAACCTCAGCTTTTCCTTTTAAGCAAAGGGTCGTAAGATATAGCTATATTTCATAACCCTATATAGGAAAAGTAGATTCTTCGTTATTTCATAGAAAAGTTCAAATGCTTGTCTCGAATGATAATTACGAGGACGATTTCGAGTCTGGTGACAACTTAACCAGCTCGGCTACAACACCAAAATCGGGCCATGATTTGTCAAACTCCCACAAAGCTTCTTCCGGTAGTAAAAGTCGTAGTGCATCACCGTGCCGTGACTCACCCTTGAATATAGGAGGGCTTAAAGGGGCTCCTATGTCATCTTCCGAAGACGCTGATACTGAATCTCCCTCGTCGTGTAGCGTTAGGTTCGATTCCTCGAACACTTCTAGTGATTGGGAGATGCAGAATAAATCACCTGCGAAAAATTCCAAGATAAACAACTCCAATCATATTCATGACGAATCTGGAAATGGGGAGGAGATAAGTGAAAGTGGTAGTGGGGGGAAACTTCCCCCAGTTACGAACAAAGGTGCGGAGGCTTTAAAAGCTAATAAAAACTCCATAATGAGCCCGAGTTCGAAACCTCAAATCACTTCAACCGACTCCGGTGGCGAATCTCGGGATGGTATCATGCATAAATCCAAAGTCACAACTGTTTGGATGCTAAAAAATGAGGAACCGGATCCCTCGTCGTTTCGATTTCCAAATATCAATGGAAGCGTAAATGACTTGTGTGAAACCAAAGGAAATGGCACTCCAATGGAAGGAACGGTACGGGATTCTATAAGCGTAACTGACACGTTACCTGATGTAGTACCGAAAAAACAACTACCTGATAATCAAAGAGAACGACAACACGGGGCAGATCCTAGTACAACAAACCCTTCCTTGAGTGCTAAGGCTTCTAAACCTCATTTGACAGGACAAAACGCGGTGAAAGAGATTATTAGCAGCAGACGCCCTGAGGGCTCCGAATGTTCCTCCTCACGCCGTTCAAGCGTTATGATAATCTCACCAAGCACTGATAAAAGTGGTGCAGGCGGTAAAAACGCTATTAATAATACTGGTAGTACTCTCGATACGAATCCTATTAATGCCTCTCCTGTGACTACGAAAAAAAACCCTATTATGGGCTTAGAGAATCAAGTTCATCCAAAGAAAAAGACGGGCCCCCTTCCTTATTCTGGCTCCGTAGATCCACCTTCTAAATCGAGTTCCCCGTTGGGAGGTAATGCTTCGAAGAAGAAAAAACAGCCTTTTGATCAACAGCTTCCGAGGAAAAAGGAAAAAATTTCATCGTCGTCACCAGGTTACATGACGGATGCGGTAGAAGTTTTTCAACGTCAAATTATTAGCATTGATAACCCAGATCAGGATTCACCAATTGAACCGGAAACTCCATTAGTTATGGGGGGTACGTTGATGCAGCAACTTCGTTTGCTAAAGGATCAGATCGTTATTTTGGATAGGAAAATCGCGTTAAAGGAAAAGGAAATCGCGAAAATTAATCGAGCTCAGAGCGGTGAACTTGTTTCTTGTGGAGGAATGTCTGATAAAAATAATATGGGTAACCCCAACTCCCACAACTCAAACGGAGATATGTGTGATGACGATCAGAGTATGTCTAATGCCAAACAGAAAGAAAAAGAAGCGTTCGAAAAACTGGAGAAGCAACGTTTGATGAACAAGGAACTTGAGGATAAGTTTAAGGAATGTATGGGCGACATGAGCGTCGAGGACTTTATCGACGAGGTGAATAGGCGAATCGACCGAACCCATGAAAAATTGAAAGAGGCTCAACTAGTTAAACGAGGGTTGGAGAACTGTGATAAACGGTCCGAGCACATGCTTAACTCCCTTCAATCCCGCCAGCCGTCCCCCGAGGAACTTAAAAAACGTATCGCGAACGATAACCATTACAGCCAAGCCAACACGGAGAAGAAGACTGAGCAGCTGAAGGAAGAGATTCGGCTTCGCGAGACCTCGCGGCAGGCGATGCTCGTGAAATGTCAGGACCTCGAGGTGGCCTTACAGAAGAAGAACTTCGCCCTCGGGATCTCGCGCGAGGATGTGGAGCAGCTTAGGGCCACCTTCGACACCAACAAACGGAAGATCGAGCAGTTAAACACCGCGATTGGGATCTACCGAAAAGCAATAGGGCCGGAACGGCTGGAATCAAACGCGGGTACATCGGTCTCGGGCGGGCGAAATCAGCCGGGGCAGGAAAGCTCCGATGATCGTGTGACGAGCATCCGCCGACGGCGCAAGGAGCTCGAAGAGGAGGTCCGCGTACTCGAGGCCCGACTTCAAAAGCGCCATCAGCAGGTCGGGAAGAACCTGGCCTCCGAGCGGCGAACACGGGACGGAGGAGGAGGAGGAACAAACGCGGGCGACCCCCCGACCCGTTCGAAGCCTCCTTTGAAAAGCGAACCCCCGGCGAGTACGGGGGGCAATCCTTCCCCGTCTCCTCAGCCTCATTCTAAGTCTCCCAAACCTCGTTCCCAGTCCCCTGAGCCTTCCTCCCAATCCACCAAGCCACCTCCCCAGTCCACCAAGCCTTCTTCCCAATCTACCAAGCCACCTCCCCAATCCACCAAG